CTTTAATAAATGCTTGCTTAGGGAATGAGTATGTTTTATGACAATAAAATAATTTATTGAGCATTTATTCTATGTTAAGCCCCATGTGAGCCTTATAAAGACATTTCCTCATTTAATTCTTATCTGATCCTAAGAAGAAAATACAATTCTTATCCACATTTCACAGATGGGAGTCCTGAGGTCTCAAAATATCAGTTATTTGCCCAAGATTACAGAGTAAGCTGTATTTAAGCTGGAATTTAAGTTCAGTCCAGACCAATTCAAAGCTTCGCTTTTAACTTTTACAAGTTCTGCAAGCTTCTTTACCTAAAAGCGCTGCTGAATTAAAACTAGCTTTTACTTATTATGTATTTGCTCAGTTGATTGATACTAAAAATACATTAGTATACAGAATCAAAAAATATTCATAGTATTTTACCTGAACATCTTCATTTTATAAATAAATACTTATTGTAGGAAAATAAATAGGTATGGGAATAAAAAATAACTTATTATCATAACTCATGATTACTATACACATTTTGCTGTGGATTTCTTCAGACTTTTTTCCCCAATGCATTGATGTTTGAGTTGTATGTATATAAACCCACATTTTTATAATAAAAATTGAATGAAGTTAAATAGCACATATTTTACCCTACTTTTTCATTAAGAATATATTGAAAACTCTTCACATGTTTGGTATGGTAGTACTAAGCATGGTTGATGGCACATAGTAAAGATTCAGCAAATGTCAGCAGCCATTGCGATTGTCACCACTGTCATCAACATCATCTTGCCCTCCAGTAAGGCTGTAATAATTTGACATCCCAACAACAAATTATTCTTTTCAACACACCTCCAGCAAACTTGGCTTCTGACAATTCTTTTGTGTATGCCAATCTTGAAGAATTTAAATGGAATTAGGCTGTTGTTTTACTTTGCACATATTTTATTACTAATGAGATTAAACATTAGTCATTTTTATTTTTTGAATTTTCCTTCACTTGCTATTTTATTAGTTCTCTTTTATTTTTTTAATTTTTAGGTTTTTTTCTTGAAGTATATTTGATTTACAATGTTGTGTTAGTTTCTGGTGTACAGAAAAGTGATACAGTTATACATATATATGTATATACACATATGTATATATAGTTTTTCAGATTCTTTTCCATTGTAGGTTATTATAAGGTATTGAATCTAGTTCCCTATGCTATACAGTAGGACCTTGTTGCTTATCTGTTTTATATGTAATGGTGTGTATCTGTTAATACCAAGCTCAATTTATGATGGAGAATGTTCAGCCTATGTTCTCTTGTAGGAGTTTTAAGGTGTCCTGTCTTATATTTAAGTCTTTAAGTCATTTTGCATTTATTTTTGTGTATGTTCTGAGGGAGTGTTCTAACTTCATTGATTTACATGCAGCTGTCCAGCTTTCCCAACAACACTTGCTGAACAGATTGTCTTTTCTCCATTGTATATTCTTGCTTCCTTTTTCGAAGATTAATTGACCATAGGTGTGTGGGTTTATTTCTGGGCTCTCTATTCTGTTTCATTGACCCATATGTCTGTTTTTTGCTAATACCATGCTATTTTGATTATGTAGTTTTGTAGTATTGTCTGAAGTCTGGGGGTGTCATGTCTCTAGTTTTCTTCTTTTTCCTCAGGATTGCTTTAGCAGTTCTGGGTCTTTTGTGGTTCCATATAAATTTTAGGATTATTTGTTCTAGTTCTGTGAAAAATGTCATGGGTAATTTGATAGGGTGCATTGTATTAAATCTGTAGGTTACTTTGGGTAATATGGTCATTTTAACAATATTAATTCTTCCAATACAAGAGCATATGGTATCTTTCCATTTCTTTGAATCATCTTCAGTTTCCTTTATCAGTGTTTTATAGTTCTCAGTGTATAAGTCTTTCACTTCCTTGGTCAAGTTTATTCCTAGGTATTTTATTTTTTTTGACGTGATTTTAAAAGAGGTTTTTTTTTTTTTTTTTTTTTTTTCTGACAGTTCATTTCATTTCTGTGTTTCCTGTACCTGAATATGTTTCCTTCTTTAGGTTTTGGAAGTTTTCAGCCATAATTTCTTCAAATACTTTTTTGGTCCCCTTTTCTCTTTTTTCTCCTTCTGGGATCCCTGTTATGTGTAGATTGGCATGCTTTTTTTTTTTTTTTAACATCTTTATTGAGGTATAATTGCTTTACATTGGTGTGTTAGTTTCTGCTTTATAACAAAGTGAATCAGCTATACATATACCTATATCCCCATATCTCCTCCCTCTGTGTCTCGCTCCCACCCTCCCTATCCCGGCCCTCTAGGTGGTCACAAAGCACTGAGCTGATCTTCCTGTGGCACGCTTTATATTATCCCATAGGTCTCATGTTGCTTTCATTTTTTTCATTTTTCTTTCTGTCTGCTATTCTGATTGAGTGATTTCCATTATTCTATCTTCCAGATCACTTCTTCTCTCTTCTGCATTATTTAGTTTGCTATTTATTGCAGTTAGCTCAATTTTCATCTTGGCAATTGAGTTGTCTAATTTTAATTGTCCTCTTTATAGTTTCTATTTCCTCATTACAGTGATCCACACTTCTATCCTTAGTCTTCCTTAATTTCTTCAGGATTTTTATTACTTCCCTTTTGAACTTGGGGTCTAGTAAACTGGAGAGGTCTGTCTCATTGTTTGTTCTTTCAGGGGATTTCTCTTAATTGGGAATGGTTTCTCCTTCATTTTACTTATATTTCTCTGACTCTATTAATTTAGGAGAAGCAGTTATCTATTGTGGTCTTGAAGGGCTGTTTTTATTTGAGTCTAATATTTTTAGCGTCCTGTATGAATCTAATATTTTTCGTGCTAGGGCTGTTTTTGGTATGGATGCCTGCCACATCTTTCCTCGGTGTGTGCTGGCCATTATCCCCTTGATAGAGGGTGTGATTGATGTTGTGGTGGCCAAAGCCTGCACTGGATGTTGGAGGGGTCTCCTCTTTGCTCCATGGTTGTCATAGCCCTGTCGGGGGCAGGGCCTGCTCCCCACTTATTGGAGTAGAAGCCCTCAGATCTGGTTCTAAGCTGTGGTGTGAGGTAGGTGGGACTGGTGCACTCTCGCTGGGAAAGGAGCCACTGGGTATTCCTCTGCAGGAGCCGTCCACTGAGACGTGTGCTCTGTGATGTTGCCTGTCACCCCTGTGCGTGCTCACAAAGTACACTGTTGAAACTGCCCTCTGCCCCATCTCAGCAGAGGAAAAGCTGGCAATCAGGCTGGAAGTCCCTCAGGTGCTGTGCTCACACATCTGCCAGTGGCGTAAATCCGTGGAAGTCATGCACCCACCAGGAATCAGTTCAGATTTCAGCCCCACTTCTGTGTGTGGGCAACCTGCAGGCGTTTGTGTGCGCCCAGAGCTTGTAGAGTTGGGGCTGCACCCTCTGTGAGCAGGCTGAGAATGAGGCTGCTACGACAGGGCCATGCCCCTCCCTTTGCACTAGCGGTGACAATAGGGCTCCTATTTGCCCTCACACACCTCCAGCTGTGACCTGGACCACTCTTGAGGCCCTTGGGGCTGTCTCTGCACGGCCAAACTGAATCTTCTCCCTGGGTTTGTCTGCTGAAGCCCGAGTTTCAGAACCCAGCTGCCACCGGCGAGCACTCCAGCAGGTATGCGCTTCAGGCTGGGGCATGCAGTGAGGTGGCCAGGACCTTCTGTGCAGGTCTCTCTTTGTCCTGCCTTCTACAAGCTGGTTGCTGCACTCACCTCTGAGCCCCTGAAGCTTCCTATCTGTCCTGGCTGATCTCCCAGCCGGTGAAGGCGGTTCCCAGGGTGAGGGAACTTTTCACAGCTCCCTCCAGGGGTACAGGTCCCGTCCTGCTTCCTTTTCTCCCCCTTTCATCCTACCCAGTCATGTGGTGGTCTTTCTTGCAGCTGTGGCTGTATGAGAACTTCAGCCAGCACTCAGCGGGTGTTCTGTGAGAACTGCTCCACATGTGATATAGTTTTGATGTATCTGTGGGAGGAGGTGAGCTCCACGTCCTTCTATTTCACCATCTTCATCTCCCAGTCTGCTTATTATTTTCTTATTGGTGAGTAAGGACTCTTTATGTTATGATTCTCATGTATTAAATGTATATTGCAGATATTTTCATCAGCTTGTGGTTTGATTTTCTATTTATATTTTAGTGTATTTTTTAAACAAGTAATTTAAAAATTAAGTAATTAAATTGGTCGGTCTTTTTATTGTGGTTTTCTCTTTGGCATTTTACAAATAAATGTTTTTTTCATATTTATGTAATATAAATATGGCATTTTTGACATAAAAAAGTGGTATACATCTTTCAGAACTTGGGAACCATTGGTATAAGAAATAAAGTCACATGGGGTATGGATCTGCATTGATGGTGTCACTGGGAAGAACTGAAAGGCTCTTTGCTTTGGGGAGAGTTTCAGTGGCTTGTGGATGTTTACCAAGTTTCTCGCTTGTCAAAGTCTGAAGATATGAGATTTTTTTTTCTTTTTGTTTTCATCTCCTTTTCTTGAAACCAGAGTGTCTTGTTTTTCAGGTAATCCACTGCAAAGTGCAGTACATCAAAAGGGGCTCATCTTTATATTAAAGTTGGGACTTCTGAGGCAGAGGGATTAGTTACATTTTTGAAATTGTTAAATTAATACAATCAGAATAATAGTAATGGATCAAATATTTCTGCATCTTACATTATGTTGTTCATCATGAAGATGAAAATATTTTCACTTTTCAAAGATATACGTTTATGTATTATACAATATTAAGTAGATAAAAAATAGATACATCTTGTTGTAGACTTGAAAAAAATACTGACAAATGTGCAGATGAAACTGGCTTATTTTATGAACTCAGTTTTTAACAGTTGGCTTATTCTGGATTAAAAGGCCATGTGATGAATCACTTTTATTGTGAAATTCATCAATCAAAATAGAAATGCCCTTCTTCCCGTCAAAGAGATATATTCTTTTATGAACAATTTAATCCCACATTTAACTGAAAATCCTTCTTTTCTTCTAGTTTTTGTTTCTATCAATTTGACATCATACATGGCTACTGATGGCAGTGATCTTGTAAGTACCCTTTGGAATACTTCAGACTTTAAATATTAATTGTCAGTTTGATGAATGACTAAAAAATTAGGTCGATTTTAAGTTTGGCTAGCTATTTATTGTCCTCCATTTGGTTAGTCACAATGGAATTAAATGATCCTCTTGTTAGAGTCTGAGGGTTTCTTATGATCACCAAGCATTTGTTTAAGACTCCTAGCTATTTACTTTTTTTTTTTTTTTTTTTTTTTTGGGTACCCGGGCCTCTCCCTGTTGTGGTCTCTCCCGTTGCGGAGCACAGGCTCCGGACACTCTGGCCCAGGCGCCATGGCTCACAGGGGTACGCGGGCCTCTCACTGCTGTGTCCTCTCCCATTGCGGAGCACAGGCTCCGGACGCACAGGCTCAGCGGCCACGGCTCACGGGCCCAGCCGCTCCGCGGCACGTGGGAACTTCCCAGACCGGGGCATGAACCTGTGTCCCCTGCGTTGGCAGCCGGATTCCCAACCACTGCGCCACCAGGGAAGCCCTCACTGTGGTTTGGTCAAGGGCAAAAGCAAATGGATGTCACAGATCTGTAAAGATAGAGTCAGGGAGACTCAGGTTTAGAATATCCAAAGTTTATGAAAAGTTTTAAAAAGAAAAAAATGCATGGGATTATAAGCATATGTGTCATGTGTATGTGTTATGTGGAACAAAGATATGAAAAGAAAGAATTAGGACTGTTGGATCCTTGAGAAAGGTAATGGAGTGTTTAATTATTACACTGCTTTGCTTTTTCTGAAGAAAAAATGTAGTCTTCCAGCTGGAAGGAGTTCATCTTATATGTTTAAGAGAATGGAAATTAAGATAATAAGAGACCATCTAAGGACGCTAAATGAATAAGTTCATTCATTCATTGAGACATTCATTTGATGCTCACTGATTACCTCTCCTGAGTTTATCAAGTGTCAACCACTGTAATAGGTGGGAATTGGAGATTTAATTGTGACTTGAAACACGATAAAATCTCCACATCTTAAAAAAAAAAGTATAGCCTTGGGTTTTGGAAAAAAGATGGCAGATGTGATTACCAAAGGACTAACATATCATTCTGTAGCCCCCAATCTATACCTATTACCACTGTAATAGGTAACCTGCTTCTCCTTGGTCCTGGGCACAAGTGGATTCTGTTCTTCTTGGTGGGAACTCTGGCTATTTATGGGTCTTTCTCATTTCATGAGCCATTCTCCACTCCTAGACGCAATCAGCTCAGCTCTCCTTGTGTGTCTATTTACCTGTTATTTTTATCTCACAGCCATCAGTGTCTGGGCAGTACTGCTTAATGTCTCTCTTAAGCATTTCTTCCAGCTGCTTTTCAGTGGTTACCCTACTTTATCTTTCCATTCAGAAAATTAGTTCAATTTTCTGCTGTCATTTGTTCTCTAAATAAAATGTAACACAGGAGACCTATTTTTATGCTAGGTAGTTTCGGTAGGTGTGACCCATTTGACCTAATCGCATCCCGAATTACACCTCATTTCCACTAAATTAACATTTATGGAGCTACATGTGCTGAGCTCTCTGCTTGGTGCTGGGGTACGAAGAGGAGAAGCCAACCACCTGGTCGGGGCAGGGTGATATGGTGAAGTGGTGCTAATAAAACTGTTCAAGAAAGTAGATTCTAAGCATCTGAAATCTCATTATAGTTTACTCATTATAGTATATTATAGTATAGCATAGTAAAAACGCATTGCTCTTTTTTTGTTAAGCTGAGTTGCTGTTATCTGATGGTATTCTTTTCTTTCCTCCGGTTTTCTGTCCTCTGAAGGGAAAGA